TTCTCCATCATCATAATCACCCGGGGCAGGTACAATAGGCCAATTAGTGGCCGCCGTGCCGGGTCGACCCAGTTGGACTCCACCCCCCACTGAACGAATTTAATTTAACACTGCAGGCAGAGCAAATCAAAGGCGACAAGAACACACAAGGGGAATAAGAAAACTTGAAAGGAAGGATCCAGTGGGGAAATACTAATATAAGTGAGAGGTATTGAAATGGATCTTACAGAAATATTATGTCAAAGGTTCAACTAAATTAAATTGACTCAGGAGGAAATGGGACGAATTACGGAGCAACATATGGATAGACACAGCCTTCACCTGTGGGCAGATCGTACATAAATTATCTCTATAAACCATACCAGAATGGTATTGTAATATGTATTGAACTTTCCGCCCTTACAGCAATCACGTGGAAATAATGTACATATGGGATTTGACGTTGTCATGGCAATGAATGCGATGTAACGCCATGCAGTTTCTTTTTAGATAAGTACTAAATTACACTTACTCGTATATTCTGAAGATGGAGGAAGCACATTCCTCCAGAATGTTGGTACTCATTGAAAACTTGCATGGGGTTGTATCCCGGAAGACAGTATTTTTCAAGGATGGTAAAGGATCATGGCGTTATGGCTCGAAAATTTGTGTGGAGCGAGGCTGGAAAGTATGCCACCTGGGACGATGTTCAGCTATTGTAGCCTATAGACCCGTTGCTAAGCGGTGACTGTAAATGACCTTTTCTGGGCAGTTCGGTAAACACGTTCCCGCATCAGCGAATGCGCAAGCAACAATAGAATTACTGTTCGAAACGGATGCTTCTATGTGGTCCGTTCTGAGATGTTATGAGAAAGATACAAAGTCAGTTTACAATATAAGCAATATATACACTACAAGCAAACGTATTAAAGATAAGCAGCGACACACACAGAGAGCGCCTACACTGAACAACACATGAACAACGATAAAAACAAGAAGTGGCCGCGGCAGCACCGTAGATATAGGGCATGTACCCTGAAAAAAAAAAAATTAACTAAAAATTGAAAAAGAAAGAACAGAGATCTTATAGACATTTTAACTTGAATTAAGTTTTAAAAAGTGCTAATTTAAAAATCAAATCGACGCGTGTAGATTAACAAAGATTTTATACAATTAGAAAGACTGGTAATTTTAAATTTTAACAAGCAGTGTAACAGCTACGTGAGTGATACACACCTGATGATGGCCATTTAGGGCCGAAACATGTAGTGTGGAGGAGGAAAAGAAGTAAAAACTACAATAAAAATTTGTTGCACTTAAGACGGTATTTATCCATATATACAAAGTCAGTTGTTAGGCAACCCGTGTGGAGGGGGAGTCGAATACCTCCACCGTGACCCTGCGAGTCTTAGAAGGCGACGAAAAGGGAAGTCTCAAATCTGAGAGTAAAATATGGTCACGAGTCCCAAGGGTCTCGGACCCGAGAAAGACTGCGCTGGCAAGCACCAGCAGCATATACAAAAGACAGACCCGTCATCTTGTCAGAGAGGACGCCCCACAAAAATAAGACCGTAACTGTCAAACAGTAATAAATATCTGGTCATGAGCCACAGATGGGTGTCGACACCAAGACTTACTGACTGACTGGCCATCAGTCGCAAGGTGACTTTGACTCTGAGTTGTTAGGCAGTTCTGTACGAGCTGAGCGCGTGAAACTAAAGAACCTCCGCCGTTAGAAGCCGTTGCCAGGGAACGGCTGGTAAAGACAGAGCAGGCTTAAAAAGGCTTGGCTGGTGCTGTGGTGACTTGTGAATTGTGGAGATTAACGGTCGTGCTTTAATTACGTGTATTTATACTTACGAATCGTGTTTATAAGTGGTCTAGAAATCGAGTCACCGATCCGAACCTCGTCTATAGTCCTACATACTAAATAACAGTATTTAGCAGTCTTCCTCTGTCGCTGAAGCAATATTGGCGAATGAGATACAGTTCTGAATTTTAGCTGCAGTGTGATGAGCCTAACGCAATTAAAGGACTGAAGTGGTGGGGACAGCTTTAAAGAACAAGTGAAATCCGCCCTTCTGCAAAATTAACTAGGAGAATAGAGAGGTAAGGTAAAAGTGAAGTTGTCCATGGGATTAATTAATTAAATACCATGCTTTGAATACGGATGGGGGAGTGGAGGTATTGCTCCACCATCCTTTATCTCGGCACTAGTTGAAGATGAGTGGTCAGCTTCATGCACCTGGCACTTTACCCTCGATGGTCATTAGGTAGGAGGCTGCGTGGGCCCCCAGAGGCAGTTCTGGGCATTATGGAAAAGTGAAAAACATCTTGAACAAACCGGGAATCGAACCGCGACTCCTGAGTCGTTCAGCCAGTAGCCTAGTCGTTATACTGTCTGAACTGAGAGACACAGAGCAGAATGTGTGAATTTCTGGATTTTCGTGGGGGGAAGGGAAACCCCGCTGGGTAGAAGCCTGCACTGGACTGTAGCACTTTAGAGGAATATCTTTACCAATTATTTCCTTAGACATAATATAAAGAATGCATTATAATTCCAGTAATTAATAAACATAACAAAGTCGACAATTTGGCTAATGGCCCCCAGTAAACTAAACAACTCCATATAGCTTGGAAAACCAAGAGTCGATCAGCTGCTCCAGAATTTGTAAATATTTCATGTAACCCGAAGGTTCAGCACCCTATTCGCCAGATCCTGCCATTAGTCCTTATCGTGAAGCAGATGAACTGAGTCCATACTACCCCATCCTCCCACCTACATCTGTGTCTTCCTGGTGGCGTCTTTCTTTCTTGCTATCACATAAAAATCCTATACGAATGCCTTCTCTCTCCATATGTGCTACGTGCCCTACCCATCTTATTTTCTTTCACTTGATCATTCTAATTATATTGGAGAAGAGTACAAGTTATGAAGCTCTTCATTGTAAATGTTTCTGCAACCTCCCTTTATTTTATCTGTCTTACGTTGTAAGGGTTCGCGGTATGTCCATTGACTCATTTTTCAATTGTGCAAGAGACAGGAGAGCGCGCATTCAAGCGCTATTGCAAGGCTGAAATATAATCGCAATACCTTACGGTTGCGATCTGGCACAAAATTAGGTATAGACCTAGTAGGTAATCTGGTAACCGGAAGTGTGGACTTACGCTCGGCATGCTGTAACCGTGACACTGACACAATAAATTCACACTCACACACCGTGCTTGTTGGAAGTCACTACTGAGGCGCGCGAACTTGGCCAGTCCACGTTATATGAACGCGAAGAGTGGCGGGGTTGCTCCACTTCTTGCTCATTGGCCTTGCACTTGTAAGTGGAAAGCTTCTTCTCTGGGTTCACTCGATCGATTTTCCTGTGGGGGATCTCTTTTATGTTCGCATGAATCATGGATCGAATTTTCATGCTGTTGTTTTAGCCTACTTTCTTTGCTTCAAAAGGAAAACGGACCAGTGTTTTCATGTCCTTCTGTTTGTCCATGCTACAAGCCGCAAGGACGCGGATCCAATTCCCGATGAGGTTATTGGACTTTTTCAATTTACCTAATCTTTCCACCCCCCACTGTGGTTCTAGGTTATCAGGTACCGACGACCGACCTCTNAATAATAATAATAATAATAATAATAATAATAATAATAATAATAATAATGGTTCTAGGTTCGACTCAGACTATAAAAGAAATGAGCACCAGGAATTTTCCTAGGGGCAAAGGGCGGTGAGGGCTGATTTACACACACACTTTAAATGATCATGTGTCGACGAAATATCCGTTGCTATCGTCTACCGAGAACTTAGAAGTCAAGAGCTGAACCGTCAAGGTCAAAGTCACATTGGGAGTTGTTGTATATGGTGACACCTGATATAGATTATTGTATAAGGCATGGTGATGCTTACTATAAACTATGGTATATGTTAATACCCATGTGGTATATGGGGATATATAGTATGAAATGAATTGTTTTATTGATATAATATGTTATATTGTAATATTAGAAATAGACTGTACCTCATGTATACACAGTATGAGGAATCGAGTGTACCAACAGGAAATATTAAGGGATTAACTTCGGGAAGGATCAAAAGATTAGAACTTTGTCCTTCACCGATGCTGTCACGAGAACGATGCTTCTTTCTTACTAAGAATAGAACAGCTATGGACCCTCCGAAAACTCAAGAGGGTGATGATGCAATGAATGACGTTAGTCAGATTACTTCAGAAGGGTAACGCCCTAACTGGACGAGATATATACCACACGGGGCGTAAGTAAAGGTGCTTTTTGATATCGACACTGCCTGAGCTATCCATTAAGTGGAGCAGGTGCTGTCAGATACCAGGAGTCGGCCACTGCCCATTGCTGAGGCAGACCACTGATTTCTTACCAACAGGTTCCTCTCTCTGATTTTGTACAGTATCAATAAATGTATTTAACATCAAGTTGCAGTACTCTCACACCCCGCACTGACTCCCAAGGGAACCGCTCGCCCTGCCAACCTGCAATCTATCCCATCCCCGGGATACAACATTGGTGTCAGGCCTGTGTGGTAGCTGCATCCAGAGACTGAACCCAGTACGTCGCCAAGGGAGAAAGAGGTATACCAGGTGGGATATCATCTTTCAGAAGACGTCAAGTGAACGGTAAGAAAATTCCAGTGGTACTACAACTCATTGACTGAGTGAAGGCTCATTAACTGGGCAGCCGAAGAGATATTCAGCAGAAGGAAGAAATTAATTATTGTTCGAGTATAGAGCCAGCCAATAGTGGCGAGAAGAATATTTAGAATTCAAGTCCTGAGAGTTGGACTGAAAATATAAAAGTGGAATAAGCGACCAACCCGTCTAAAAGTGGCGACCCTTCCATAAATAACTTAACTAATAAGAACTGAATTTTACAGCTGAAAAGGAAAGGCCAGCGGAGAACGAGTTAACATCCCGATCCAGCGAACGAGAAAGTAGGTCAACAACCTCCAGCCATTGAGTTATACTGCAGAGGAACCCCAACAGCGAGATCTGCACGCCAGCGCTATGGAAGACCGGCCGCAAAAGCCACCACCCCTACAAGTCGTTGAGAAGGCAACAGAAACGGTGAGTCTTTGCTAAACGTTTATGAGTGCCAGGTCTAACAAAGTGAATACACAAGTTGCGGAAGCAGATAGTTCAGATAGCATGGCTGAAGAGTACATTAGTGTGAGCGAGGCGCTAAAACTAGTGACGCCATTCAGTGGTAATAAAAGGGAGGTACTCACGTTCATCTCCAATGTGAATACCGCATTTGAAGTTATAAATCCCAACCACCAGGATAGATTATACAAATTTGTATTAACTAGAATCAGTGGGGAGCCGAGAACAGCAATAGCGCATCGACATTTGGAGAGCTGGGAGGAATTACGGGAATTTCTGAGGAATACCTACATAGAGAAACGGACACTAGATTTCCATGTGAATCAATTGTTCAAAGCTAGGCAAGGGAAATCTGATAGTATATCAGAATGGATACCGAAAATCCAAACCTTAGGTTCAAAATTCCGAGAGGCTCCGCTTACTGATTGCACAGACGAAGAGAGGGCAGGTATTTTAACCTTGTCGGATCGCTTGCGAAATATTTGCTTTATGCAAGGGTTATATTCCGATAGGATACAGACCATTGTCCGCAGCCGAAATCACGATGATTTCGACGAAATAGCAGAAACTGCGCTTGAAGAGGAAAGTGCAATTATTTCTAAACTAGAAAGATATAGAGGGCAAGATAGTGGCTCAATTCAGTGCACTATTTGCAAAAAGGTGGGCCATGTGAGTAGCAAGTGTTTTTCAAAAACAAAACGGGAAAATAGGGTAAGCCAATTTTCCGTCAAGAAAAACAAACAGACGCGAGAAATAATATGCTTTGCCTGTGGGGAAAAGGGTCACTTTGCTAAAGACTGTAGAAATAAAGGAAGGAAAAGGTCAGGTCAGGAAGACCAAGGATCAATGACTGCGGGAAAGGGGGGCGGACTGTCAGCTCACAGTCGGCAGGCAGTCAGTGCTATTCAGTAGGCTGTATCAGTGAAAATAGGAAAGAATACATAGAGCTAGAGGTCCGGGAAAGTAAGACAGGAAAATTGAAGTTCTTACTGGACACGGGGGCTGATATTTGCCTCGTAAAGAGTACAAGTTTGTTAGGGACTACTGAGTTCGATCCCCAACAAAAGGTGAGAGTCAAAAGTATAGAGGGCTCTATCATGGAAACACATGGTGTAGTGAGTATATGTATTCACGAAGGGGAAGTTAATATTCCGTTCGACTTCCATTTGGTTAATAAACAGGTGGAACTCGTTTATGATGGAATTGTGGGTAGAGACTTTCTGCAACATACTAGGGCCAAAGTATGTTACGATGGTAACACAGTCACATTCAAAGCAGGGGATGCGGAATGGACTAAGAGAATCATGGGTAACGAAATAGTTCAGGGAACTATAACGAAGGAAAAGTTAACCCTAACCGGGAGATCAGAAGTAATAGTGAAGTTACCGGTAGAAAGCGGTACAAACGGCCCGGAAAGAATTAAGGAAATAGTTCAGGGAACTATGGAAAAGAGAAAGTTAACCCTACCTGCGAGATCAGAAGTGATAGTAAAGTTACCGGTAGAGTGCGGTACAGACGGCCAGGAAGGAATAATAGATAAGTCAGAAATAGCTGACGGAATTTATTTAGCTAGTTCTTTAACTAGGATAAGTGGTAAACATGTCGTGACCAGTGTGTTGAACACAAAAGAGGAGGAAGTGGTAATAGAAATGCCGATAGTAAAATTGGAAAATTACTGTACAGGGGAATTTCAGGAAGGAAGTCCCGATGAGTACGTAGGATCATTAGCCTCGATCCGAAAAGAAAAAACAAGGAACCGGATAGATGAGGTTCTGGGAAGGTTACGGTTAGATCACCTCAATCCAGAGGAGAAGGAAATGACCAGAAAAGTTTGTAGGGACTATCATGACATATTTTATTTGCCAGGAGATAAACTCAGTTGCACTAATGCAATAAAGCATTCTATAAATGTGATTCCCGGCACGAGTCCCATAAATACAAAACCTTATAGGTTACCCAAAGCCCAGAAGGCTGAAATAGATAAACAAATAGACAAGCTACTCCGAGAGGGGGTGATTGAGGAGAGCAGTTCCCCATGGAATAGTCCGCTGTTAGTGGTACCCAAGAAAGATGGCGCGAGTGGGGAAAAGAAATGGAGATTAGTAGTGGACTTTAGGAGGTTGAATGAAAAGACAGTGGGTGATGCGTATCCACTGCCAGACATAACGGAGATACTAGATCAGCTAGGGAAGTCGAAATACTTTAGTTGCTTGGATATGGTAATGGGCTACCATCAGATTGAGCTGAGGGAGGATGATAAAGAAAAAACCGCTTTTAGCACCAAAAGTGGACACTGGGCGTACAAAAGACTACCCTTTGGATTAAAGACAGCTCCTTCGACTTTCCAAAGAATGATTAACAATGTATTATGTGGCTTAACAGGTACCAGATGCTTTGTATTTCTAGATGACATCGTGATCTATGCTAAGTCTCTAAGCGAGCACGATGAAAAATTGAGAGATGTTTTTAGAAGGATTAGGAAATACAATTTGAAACTCCAGCCAGACAAGTGCGAGTTTCTTCGTACCGAAGTAACTTATCTAGGTCATGTAATCACCGAAGAAGGTGTGCGACCGGATCCCAAAAAGGTTGAGGTCATAGACAATTTTCGACAACCCACTTCGACTAAGCAGTTGAAAAGTTTTTTGGGTATGGCCAGCTATTATCGGAAATTTATTTCCAATTTCAGTAAAATTGCCACGCCCTTATACAAGTTGCTAAAAAAGGATGCCCATTTTGAGTGGTTAGACGAGCAGGAAAATGCTTTCCACAGATTGAAACAGAAATTGATTTCGCAACCCATATTGCAATATCCTGACTTTACGAGAGAATTCACGTTAACCACTGACGCTAGCAATGAAGGTGTAGGAGCAGTGTTATCTCAGGGCCAAATAGGAAAAGATTTGCCTATTGCCTATGCCAGCCGGAATCTGAATAAAGCAGAAAAAAATTATTCAACCAGTGAGAAGGAACTTTTGGCAATAGTTTGGGGAATAAAACATTTCAGACCGTATCTATACGGGAGGAAATTCAAGGTTGCGACTGACCACAAACCTCTCACATGGATAATGAACATAAAGGATCCAGGTTCAAGGCTATTACGATGGAGAATAAAATTGGAAGAATATGATTACGAGATTATATACAAAAAGGGGACATCAAACACAAATGCTGACGCGTTGAGTAGGATAAATGGAATTGTTGTAGAAAATGAAGGGCATTCACAGTCAGATATAAATGATGAACTAAAAAGGCAAATTTTGTATGAGTATCATGATGCACCATTAGGGGGACATCGAGGTATGAACAAAACCTACAGTGCAATAAAGAGCGTGTATTCATGGCCAAATATGAAGCAGGAGATTGAGGACTATGTTAGAAAATGTAAAAGTTGCCAAATAAATAAAGTGTTAGGTCCTCAGAGAAAAGTTCCCATGGAAATTACCACCACTGCCAACCAACCTTTTGAAAAATGTTGTTTGGACCTAGTGGGACCCTTGCCTGAAACACAGACAGGGAATAAATACATATTAACTTTTCAAGATGAGTTAAGTAAGTTTCTGGTAGCTATACCGATACAAAGGCAAGATGCTGAAACAGTAGCACAGGAGTTTGTAACGCAGGTTGTTTTGAAATTAGGAACGCCTAGCAAAATTTTGACAGACCAAGGGTCAAACTTCCTAAGTGAGGCATTCAAGAATACCTGCAAGATGTTAAAGATAAAAAAAGTTGCAAACTACCCCTTTCCACCCCGAAAGTAATGGAGGTTTGGAAAGAAGTCACAGAATTCTGAAGGAGTATTTACGACACTATATAGATGAGGATCAGAGTAACTGGGATGTATGGGTACCCTATGCAGTGTACGTGTACAACACGTCTGTACACACATCCACAGGTTACACGCCGTTTGAGCTTGTATATGGTTTTAAATCAACCATGCCATCAGCACTAAAGAGAACCCTAGTGTCCAATATAATTATGACAATTTTTTAGTTGAACTGAAGGGCAGGCTACAAACAGCCCATAGCATAGCCAGGGAAAGGTTGATAGGTCATAAAGAAAAGAGCAAGGAATATTATGACAAAACCACAAAAGAGGCTACATTTAGGGTAGGAGACAAGGTTCTCCTGTACGACGAAACCGTACGTAGAGGGAGGTCAAAAAAACTTAGCGCCCAGTGGTTAGGACCCTATGAAATAATCGGGTTAGACAGAGTAAATGCCACCATTAAGAAAGGAAAACGAACTCAGAAGGTTCATATGAACCGATTAAAACCATTTTATTGAGAAAGAAAAAGAAAACTTCTTGGATTGCCGTGAACTTAGAGCAAAATTTCTTTACAGATGGTTCCATGGCGATTATGGCTATTCACAGTGTGGATCACGCTTTATCTTCCAAGATGTGAGATGAAGTCAACAGCTGAGGGACTGGGATATTCTGTAGATAGATATGATGACTCTCCAGGACTGTATTACGAACTCTTAGGAGAGGCCACGTTATATAACACAGAGTGGAAAACTGTAGTGTACGTCAACCTAAGGCAAACGGACAGTGAGACGGAGCAGTTAGGCCAGTATATCAGTTATATAAATAAATTATGCCAAGCTACTGAAGTTCAAAATTGGACAGACTGTAATCATTTTTCTTCATTGTCTAATGATAGACTTAAGCAGGTAAAGGGGACTGAAAAACTGTTGCACGAATTAATTGGAAATTCGGGACACATCCGCAGACGCAGGGGAGCCCTAAATTTTGTGGGAGAAATTAGTAAGATATTATTTGGAACCCTAGATTCGGATGATGCTGATTATTACAATGAGCAGATTAAGCATTTTGAGGAAGAAACCGAAGACATGACTAGCATTATGAAACAGCAACTCTCTATAATAAAGGCATCGCTAGGAACAATGAATAGTACTATCTCCGACATGGAATACAATGACCATGCAATTAAGGAGGGATTGTCTAGCTTAAAATCTTACATGGAAAAGTTTAGCTCAGAAACGGAAGAGCAGTTGAACATACTGAGTGTGAAGGTCACAGTAGAGGGACACATCGCTCGAGCGAATCGTGCTCTTGATGCCATGCAGAGGAATTTAGATTTGATGATAGAAAGCGTCCTAAACGCACAAAAGGGTATTTTGCAGCCCCAAATAGTCTCACCAAATCTACTTATGGAGACATTACAGGGAAGTGCTTCAGTATTTCCAAAAGATACCATGGCACCATTTACCTTCAGCAAGGATTCAATCAGTTTGATTTCTAAAATATGTGATGTTCACATTTACATAAAAGATGGAATATTAGGTTATATAATAAGCTTACCTTTAATCAGCAGAGGTACATTCAAGGTGTTTCGATTGATACCACTGCCAGTAGGTATAGAGAAAAATAGGTTTCTCTACCTTGAAACTGGTAATGAACTATTGTATGTTGATCAAATAAGACAATATTATTTTGCCACAAGCCGAGAGGAATTAAGACGCTGTAAATCAGCCGTACCAAATGCATACATATGTAAGCAAAGTCAACCCTTATTGAACAGTCACATGCAGGAATCATGTGAAATAAAATTGTTGCAACCACGGCTAAATATTCCAAAAATTTGTGATACAAGGGTAGTACAAATCATACATACGGTTTGGACCCAGTTAGAGAAAAACAATGAATGGATTTATTTCATACCATCTAGTGATGACATTACGATTTTATGTCCAGAAAAGGAACCTGTAAACATAGTGCTTAGAGGCACTGGTAAGTTGAGTATTCAACCGGGATGTAAGGGATATGGTAAAACAGCCCTGTTGACTACCCAAAACACTGTTCAAGTAAATACCTCGAAACACGGAGGAGATTTGTTATCCAAAGTGGAATCTCAATTTGAATGTTGTGAACAGTTCGGTACATCAATTAACTTGAGTCATATTGAATTAGATATGAAGTTGAAACATGTGGTAACGCACATGGAAGACCTGAAATTTGCTAGTTATAAGATCTCCGAGTTGGAGAACCTTGCAAAAGAAAAAGAATGGAAATGGAAACATATCCAGTACCACAAAACTTATTCAGTGCTAATGTACATTGTGATCACTGTAGTAATATTGTATGGTTTATATAGACTTGTGAAATTTGTTGTAACCCGTTGGAGAAAAAGCAAAATACTAAGGGCAATTGCCGCAAAAACGGAATGTTTAAGCCTTCCTGGAGAAGCCAGTGGAACTGGAAATGTTATCAATATCAATATTAAAACCAGTAATGAGAGTTTGTCACGAAGTTCGGAAGCGATACCATTGAGGGACATTGATGAAGAATCAAGGAGGGAGAGCAATCCAGACCTCCGGAGATCCAAACGGGGGAAAACAAATAAATCGTAATTTTAAAGGCACAATTAAGGTGTTAATTGAGCCTCATTTTAAGGGGGGAGGTGTTGTATATGGTGACACCTGATATAGATTATTGTATAAGGCATGGTGATGCTTACTATAAACTATGGTATATGTTAATACCCATGTGGTATATGGGGATATATAGTATGAAATGAATTGTTTTATTGATATAATATGTTATATTGTAATATTAGAAATAGACTGTACCTCATGTATACACAGTATGAGGAATCGAGTGTACCAACAGGAAATATTAAGGGATTAACTTCGGGAAGGATCAAAAGATTAGAACTTTGTCCTTCACCGATGCTGTCACGAGAACGATGCTTGTTTCTTACTAAGAACAGAACAGCTGTGGACCCTCCGAAAACTCAAGAGGGTGATGATGCAATGAATGACGTTAGTCAGATTACTTCAGAAGGGTAACGCCCTAACTGGACCAGATATATACCATACGGGGCGTAAGTAAAGGTGCTTTTTGATATCGACACTGCCTGAGCTATCCATTAAGTGGAGCAGGTGCTGTCGGATACCAGGAGTCGGCCACTGCCCATTGCTGAGGCAGACCACTGATTTCTTACCAACAGGTTCCTCTCTCTGATTTTGTACAGTATCAATAAATGTATTTAACATCAAGTTGCAGTACTCTCACACCCCGCACTGACTCCCAAGGGAACCGCTCGCCCTGCCAACCTGCAATCTATCCCATCCCCGGGATACAACATTGACGGTCAATCAGTCAGTAAGTCCTGGTGTCGAGCCCCATCTGAGGCTCATGACCAGATATTTCTTACTGTTTCACAGTTACGGTTTTGTTATAGTGGGGCGCCCTCTCTGACGAGAGGGAGGGTCTGTCTTTTGTATATGCTGCTGGCCTTTGCCAGCGCAATCTTTCTCGTATCCGAGTCCCTTGGGACTCTCGACTTTATTTTTCAGTCTCAGATTTGAGACTTTCCTTTTCGTCGCCTCCTACGACTCGCAGGGTCACAGTGGAGGTATTCGATCCCGCCTCCACTTAAGTAATCACTTTGGGCTGAGCCGTAGCTCCGCTTTTCTAAGATAACTCCTTTGCACGGACCCCACGGAAATATCGTCTCCCATTGTTGTGGATGCATGTTTACCGCTGCGTTGCCAGGCAACAGACTTTTTACATCTACGTGCTTTTGCTCGGCTTGGGCCGCATAGAAAACAGTCTATATTGTTGTTTTCTTAGCGAGACGTTTCTTAGCAACGCCCTGGCCATTCACGTTACACTAGTACGAGTAATTGCAGATATAGTGAAGATGCAATTTTTTTAGGATTTGTAGAGCAGAATTAACGTCGACGGAAGCATACTACTGGAAATTACGCCCAGAAGTTTAAACTCATCTTATAGTTCGAAACACCCAAGGGATAGCAGGTGCCATAGGTTGTTTTTAAAACTAGTTCTTATCTTAGATCACCATACTTAAAACTGCTGCTTTGTTCTTGAATACTATACAATTAAATATTGTCCACCTCAGACTTGCAATGCTCCTAAATCGCGTAAATGTAATTTTCTGTCATTCATTGACTGCAACTTGTACTTGTCGCCAAGTATATATAGAATATTCAAGTTACGGAGAATGAGATGGGGAGGACATATGACACGCATGGGAGAGCCAAAAGGAAAGCGACCACTGGGAAAACCTAGACGTAGATGTGAGAGTAATATTAAAATGAATGTGAGATAAGATGTGGCGGTATGGACTGGGCTTATCTGGCTCAGGATAGGGACTAGTGGAGGGCTCTTGTAGACACTGTAATGAACCTTCATATTTCTTAAACTGTTGGTAATCATTGAGTGACAAAAGCGACTTTGCGGCTTCTTAAGAAGGGCTCAGCTCCATCGAGTTAGTTATTATTCTCCGACTCATCCAGCTCGCCGTCACGCAGTTCGCCTTGTCTAACAATGGCAACCGGAAACTCGTTCTGTGAGGACTCGGACCGATTCTGTCCGTAACTCTGTCGAAGCTGTAGTGACTGCGCGACAAGTCTTCCATAACAGATCCAAGCCATGATGTATTGGAGTAAGCTACTCATATTTTCCGCAAGTTTTTTAAGCTTAAAGTTATTTAACCTTGATGCAACTCAAATTTTAAGGCCCTTCTCTTCGACTTCTCGTATCGTCTTAGTTTTCCCTTATAAGAAAACTACAAATTTTAGAAATGGATTCTATATTTCAGTCTTTCGGTGGTGAAGGTAAATTAACCCTCGCAAATCCGGTTATGGTCAATCCGGATGTCGGATTATCCTGATGGAAATATTAAAAACAGAAAATTTCCTTCAAAGGTGAGTACATACTTCGAAAGACATATGGAATTTCTTAACATAAGGGATTAGAGGAAGAGGTCTTACAAACTGTGTTGAAAGCAGCCGGAAAGATCGAATCCACACAAAAAACTTATTCAAGCTTGGCTTCAACTAGATGGAGCAGACTCTGGATTTCAGCATCTTGTCTTTTTATAGTTGTTCAATAAAGTCTCTACGATGCTTTTTTCTTGTTTATTTTCATCAGCACTACTTGCGTGTATGTTATTAAATTGTCAGGTTATTTGTATTCTAAGCATTTTTGCTTCTTTAATCCGGATGAATCTGGGTTTACTGAAGAAATTCCCATTCTACTAGGCTCCATAGTAGAACTACTGTCATGCCATGTCCAGTATATAGCCTCTGAACTAGTGAAGAAATGCAGTGCCTTTCATGGATCTCCAAAGATTCATTATCGTTTCCACAAAAGCCTGCCACTTGTCCCTGATTTGAGTTAAGAAAACAAACAAATTTGTTTAGGACAAGAATTCAGTTATCTGAGAAGCTGAATGAGATGTGTAGGATTTAATGAGTTATTACTGTAGCATTTGCATTGAACTGCCATGAAACCTCAATAACTTTGCTTCTTTTATAACCCAGTAGACCGTTAGTTGATAGGAAAATGTATTGCAGATCTTAATATGTTGACATGTTGACAGCCATTGATTAAAACCATTATTAACACATGTATTTGTCTATCAATCATGTTAATATGAGAGAATATATTTATGAAGTTACTACTAACATATCACTTTGAAATGAAAATAAAGGAGCTGAAACGAAGTCCATTAATGTAAAAAACGTCTAAGCATCTGACTGAATCAGCCCGATCACGTGAGCGTACGACCTTGTTTTTCAAGCCATGATTATTTTTATTAAAATGATTGCATTTTTTAATATTTTCCTGCACAAATTGCACTTGTATAATTGGTGAGATTAAAATTTGTTATTGTTAGTACAGTATATAGTAGTACAACACAATTATATTAAAAAAGTCCTTGCTTGTTACGATGTTCACTTTAATTACTTCATTATGATCCTCATTTCCCGATTTCAGAACGGGAGCAGGAAGAAGCACGGCGGAAACAAAATGCGATCAATTTCCCAGTCTACTCACTACAGGTAGGTCAGTGTCAAGTTTATGTATGGCACGTCACGGATAAACTAGGCAGTTTCTGTGCGCAAAATGGTAGCACCAACGTCACAGTTAGGTGCGACTTGGCCGCCCCATAGCTCAAGCGGTTAGTCGCTGCCTTCCCATCGCGGAGGCCCGGGTTCGATCCCGGGGTCTGGTCAAGTGGGATTTGTGGTGGACAAAGTGGTGTTGGGGCAGGTTTTCTCCGAGTACTTCCGCTTCCCCTGCCAATCTTCATTCCACCAACTGCTCCACAATCACCCTAAATCTATCATCTGGGGCTGGTACAATAGGCCAGAAGTGGCCGCACTACAAGGGACTTAGTCCACCCCACTGGCAATAAAAAAAATAGGTGCGACTTACTTTATCTCTTACATAGTATTTCTTCCTTTCTGCTAAATCGGGTGGAGCAGCTTGTGCCACTGAAATTAGGCAATGAATTCTATTCTATGTATTAATGGCCTCCAACTGCGCAACAAATTAAATTGTTATGCTCTTTATAGGCTGACAGATAACGAATGAATTAACTCCTGTAGTAAATAATTTCGTTATATATTCCTTGAGTAAAAACATATTGCCTACAGTAATAGCGGAAACCAAAATTAAGTGATAACATATTCGTTGTATTAACAGAAAGGATTTAATGTGTAGAATGTCTTATGACTTGCCGATAATATTATGCTACGTTTATTTAAAAAAATGTTTTGTCAGTTGCGTCGAATGATTATAAATTAGGAAAGATATGGAAAGCGTAAATATTCATTTTTCGACTATCTTCTCGTTTGATTAGCCGCTATGTATTATAATCTCAGAAGGTGAAATAACGTCATTACATAACCAAACAGGTATCACTGGAGTGAGACCAAATTCATGAATGAATGGAATGAAAATTCTTTCATTTCTTAGAAGCATGAAGAACCAGAATCGTGTTACAACTGATGGCCAGTCAGTCTGTCTTGGTGTCGAGACTCATCTCATTTGTACTAGTTCTGTCGGTGTGCGGCAACCCTCAGACGTGATGACCAAAGCATATAATTTAAATATTGTTTTAAAATTCGTCTGTGCGGCTAAGGAAACAGTGATGAATCATGATTTCTCAGTCAAATAATTGTATATCCTAATTTACTTTGTAGTATCATCTCAGAGGAGTCGATTCTGCTCAATATAGAGGACCCTGTGGTGTCCTTCGCTTAAAAACAAAGAGCATTTTATGTGACATTAAATTAGAAGGATTCTGTCGTAGTAACAACATTTCGAAAGAATGCTGACTACTTCAAATATTACATATGATTTTTCCTAAAAGAAATACATGGTTAAATCCTGTGCCGTATTCAAAAAGCAACAATACATTTGAAATTATGTCGACGCTTAACACTGTCAACATTATCAAGACCGTCGAGACATTCAATACGCTACATATTGTCTTAATTGTTTTATTGTAGAAAAAGTGTAAATACAAAAGAGGCCTAGGCAATGCCCATCCGGCCTTCTGCAGCACATTCTAATAAACATCTCATTCTATATTAGCAGTAACCCCGCGGTTGTTAATATAGATTTTGACTTAAATATGTGTGCATACTGCAAGTAATAAGTACAATTACTTCTTTTACTTTTCTTACATATATATTTTATATAAATATAGGAATGTTGTTTATGAAGTAACAGACGCCTTGCAGAAATCTTTTTTCTTCTAGCCTTAAGAACTGTGCAACTGTTTTTTGGTAATGCTTTTTCTGTTCTCAGAGATGTCCATCACTGTTGTCCTGTGGTCCTCGTACTGTTTACGGTTCCAGAAGATATGTTCATCCATTTGCAGCCGTTACATACACAACGTACTGCCCACATTTGTATGTGGAGACATCTGTAGGCAAAAGCCTTGAAGCATTCGCGGAGACTTAAAGTGGCAGATCGGCCGCGAAGTTATTACCTCCATCTCTAGGTGCTAGTGGAAACTACTGTCAGAGACATACTCGCGACCGCTCGCGACATCACGTCATCCGGTGAAAGACAACCGATCTTTTGGTGCCGTTTGGAAGAACATGCCGCATTCATCTTCTGGGTCGAATAGTAAGCCATAGACACTAGCAAGAATCTCCGCTTGCTGCCCACGTCTTACCGGTTTCTCGCATCCTTTGATATACGTAGTAATGTTTAAAGATTCAGTTCGTCCCTCAGAGAAGACACTCATATTTCATATTAAAAAGACCTGTCGTTTAAAGCAGTGTAGCAAAATTACTGTTGTTGGATTTCAGGTTCACACAGCGGCGGTTATGAAGAGCTGTATCTTCTGGGGTATAGCGCCGTTTAGTCAACCGAGAGTCAACTGTGTTTCGGAGAAACATGTTGACTGCATCTTCAGGGTTGAATAGTAAGCCAAGAAGAAAATCAACATGCTTGCTACCTGCTTCATGCTGAGTTCTTATTCTTTAGCCCTGAAGATGGAGCCAATCCCCCGATAATTACTAGAGTCTATTTTATCACCCTTCTTATGAACTGGCACAATAATAGACTCCTTCCGCTGATCAGGCAATTTTTCCTTATGCCAAATAGAAGTAATTAGCTTATGGATCTTAGAACGTAATATTTCACCTCCTGCTTGAATAAGTTCTGCCAGAATTTGATCACTACCTGGCGATTTATACCGTTTCAATTTTGAAATAGCACTTTCAACCTCCACTCAGCTGTATCTATTTCTGTCTGCCTAACAGCACTGCCATGGGTTACACAGGAGATGATGAGTAAAATGGAGGAGCGAAGGAAATGGAAGAATGTCAACAATGAAGAAGGCAGGAGGAAATACAGGAGACTGAGGAATGAATTGAAAAGAGCCACGGACAGGGCCAAAAAGGAATATCTTGAGAAGATATGTAATGAGATTATGGAATTTCAAAGAACAGGACGTTATGATTTGATGTACATGAAGACAAAAGAACTAGGATGGAAAGAGAATCATGGGATTCAAAATGTTGGCATCGAAGACTCCCAGGGGAATAGAATAGTAGATCAGAGGCAAGTGCTGAAAATTTGGGAAAATTATATTTCAGAACTATATGATCGACCTAATCGGCCAGAAACCTTAGAAGTTGAACCGGAAGAAGAAGTAGATACAGACGAGAAAGGACCATATATTTTACAAAGTGAGGTGGAAAAAGCTATCAAGGAAATGAGGAAGGGAAAGGCTACAGGAGATGATGATGTACCTGGAGATGTGCTCAAGTTACTGGGAGAAGGTGGTTTGAAAACACTGACAAAACTAATGAACACCATATATGAAAGTGGAGAGTGGCCCAAGGACTTTACAGAAGTTACAATGATTGCCTTAAAGAAAAAGACAAAAGCTACAAAATGCAGCGACCATCGCACAATAAGTCTTATTGCACATACAGCAAAGATAATAGCAAAGATACTTAAAAGAAGAATTGAAAGGAAAATAGAGGATGTACTTGGAGAAGATCAGTTTGGATTTAGAAGAGGAAAAGGAACCAGGGATGCAATTGGGATGATGAGAATTATAGCGGAACGAACTTTGGAGATAGATGAAGAACTGTGTGTTTGCTTCATAGACTGGCAGAAGGCATTTGACCGGGTAAACTGGACCAAATTAATGCAGATCCTGAAAGAAACAGGTATCGATTGGCATGAAAGAAGATTGATTAGCAAATTGTACATGGATCAGAAAGTTAGAGTACGACTGGACAGGGGGGAGACAGGAAGTGTGCAGATTGGAAGAGGAGTTCGACAAGGATGCTGTTTATCACCAATTCTGTTCAACTTGTACAGCGAATGCCTTACCAAGGAAGCTCTGGATGGGCTCGGTGACTTCAAAGTAGGAGGGCAAATTATTCAAACTGTGAAATATGCAGATGACCTTGTGTTAATGGCTAAGGAAGAAACTGTGCTACAGGGCATGATTGATAGACTAATTGAAATTGGAAGGTGCTATGGCATGGAAATGAATGTGGAGAAAACAAAAGTAATGAAAATTTCGAGACAACCAACCCCAGTCACAATAAAGATAGACCAAAAACAAGTGGAGAATGTGAAATGTTTTAAATATTTGGGTAGCTTGTTAACAGATGATGGAAGGTGTACTTGTGAAATTAAATCCAGGATTGCCATGGCAAAAGCTGCATTTAGCAAGAAGAAGAATCTTTTTACCAGCAAATTGGACTTAAATTTGAGGAAGAAACTAGTGAAATGCTACATTTGGAGCATAGCTCTGTATGGGGCTGAAACATGGACACTTAGGGCAGTAGATCAGAAACATCTGGAAAGTTTCGAAATGTGGTGTTGGAGAAGAATGGAGAAGATCAGTTGGACCGATTATGTGAGAAATGAAGAAGTGTTAATTAGAGTCAGTGAGCAGAGGAATATCCTACATGAAATAAGAAAACGGAAGGCTAATTGGATTGGTCATGTTTTACGCAGAAACTGCCTTCTAAAAGAAGCTATCGAAGGAAAGATAGATGGGCGGATAGAAGTGACAAGAAGACGAGGAAGAAGACGTAAGAAGATGCTGGATGACCTTGGGGACAGAAGAGGATACTGTCGTTTGAAGGAGAAAGCTCTAGATCGCATTAAGTGGAGGAATTGTTTTGAAAGAGACTGTGGACCTGTCGTCTTGACAGATTACTGATGATGATGATGATGATGATGAACAGCACTGACCCTATGTACATTCAATAACTGAGAGTAGTTCCTCCTATCCAAAAGTTGTGGGAATCTGCAAGCAGATCACCATGCTTATCTTTCACTAAGTTACTTCTAGGTTGGTGACCCCTCTTAAAGTCATTTATTCCTCTGTACAGGTCTCTAATGTTCTTGTTCTTACTGTTCATTGCAAGCTCATCAATTTTGTCCTTCAGATATTCCCTCTTTTTTCCTCAAATGCCTGCTAACTTTGTGTCTTTTATTGTTCAGATTATCCCCATTTATTTCATTTGGATTGCGCAACCACTGCAATTTGGCTTGTTTCCTTTGATCTAATAATTCTGAGTATTATTTGTCAAACAATGGCTAATGCTTCTTCATTTCAAAATAACCTAGACTCTGTAAGATTTGAGGCTTTCACGGCGGTGACTATGAAGAAAGCAGTCTTCTGGGATTTGGCACCGTGTATATGTGGTGTTAACCGACGTTTCGGAGGAACGTATCGCCCCCATCTTCAGGGTTGAAGAAGTATAGGTAAATCTGCAAGCGACATCACCGTGAGACACGGTCAAGCAGACCCCTGCTTGACCGTGTCTCACGGTGTTGTCGCTTGCAGATTTACCTATACTTCTTCAACCCTGAAGATGGGGGCGATACGTTCCTCCGAAACGTCGGTTAACACCACATATACACGGTGCCAAATCCCAGAAGACTGCTTTCTTCAACCTAGACTCTCTTCGGCTAAAATTTTTATAGTCTCTCTAATAGTTTTCCAAGTGTTATTAATATACACCTCAGTGAACCTATTTGAAATATCAGTACAGTACTGCCCTTTATCCTTTACCTTGTTTAATTTCATGAGAACGAACCTCACCATATGAAAGTGTCTTCTCTACTTGTAAGATCTGAGGTTTTCGCGGCTGTGACTATGAAGAATGCCGTCTTCTGGGATTTGGCTCCTTGTAAATTGTGTGTGAAGCGACGTTTCATAGGAACGTATCGCCTCCATTTTCAGGATAAAATATCCGCGAGCCAGGAACCAGCATGAGCAAGTGGCTGCAGACTTCCGTACTTGCTTTGGCATTGAAATCTCCTAATAAAATTTTCCTATGATATTTTGGGAATTTGTCGAATACACGTTCTAGTTCCTCGTAGAAGCTGTCTTTCAGACCATCAATTTTATCCTCTGTTGGGATAAATTCAACTTAATGGTTGTTCGTTAATCCCATTTCGCTACCGAGCCCTCGTCGCCATAGTCAGTACTTTAAACTTCTCTCCAGAGATGGCATAGGCACGCACATAATGTATAACTGGAAGGTAATGTTTGTTATTGTGGATGATTATGAATAGTAGTTTATGCTAGCACTGCAATTTATGAGCTTTGAACGTTATAATGTGGTTATTATTATTATTATTATTATTATTATCCACAAGCACTAATTTGGTGACTTACATTGATTTTATCTCCCCTATAGTTGGCTCCCAGAGACAAGCTGATGCCATTTATTTTCATCTGAGCAATGCATTCGACCTTGTCCCACATTCTCTTCTTCTTCACAAGCTAAGTGCTGCTGGGCTTTCTGTTGGTTATGTAAGCTGGTTTCGCAGTTACCTATCCAACCGGAAATCCCAGGTCCGTGTTTCTGGTGTTCTTTCCTCACCCTTTGAAGTTCTCTCAGGTGTACCTCAGGGATCTGTCTTGGGACCCCTTCTCTTCAACGTGTTTATTAATGACATGTGTGATGCAGTTGCCCATTCTAAGTGTCTGCTTTTTGCTGATGACATCAAAATTTACCGAGCCATTAGTTCCCCTCATGACTGCTATCTACTACAGTCTGACGTTAACTCTATACAAGGTTGGTGCATTGCAAACTGTATGAAACTCAACATCAGTAAAACTAAAGTTATATCCTTCACCAGGAAAACCAACTTACTTATCTACGACTATAAACTTTTTCAAACGTCAATAGCCCGGACCGATTCTGTA